GGATCTACATAAATTAGCCAATCATATGAATGTTATAACCCGTGATTTTCCATGAAAATACGAGTTTCTTCTATGCTTCCATAACGATTACCGATGAATTTAGTAAATGCAACGAAAAGATGGATATCTACTTTAGATACCCCTGCAAATATAGAACGAGCTAAAAAATGGATAACAATTTTTTCCAAAGAATCAATTCCAAAAGGTAAATTTATAAATATTTGTTACTTTATGAGCATATCTTTTTTACCATGTAATTTCTTTAAAAAAACTTGAACAGATATGTTAACCATTACCTTTGCTCGAAGTAGTGGTCCTGGTGGTCAAAATGTAAACAAGGGTAAAGAAATCTTTTTTTTATTTGTTAATGTAAAACGAATTCATTTATATATTTATTTTAATGATCAGTTAACACGAAAGTAGACCTACGGTTTAATTTGGACCAGGCATATTGGATACCTGAATACGCGCGCAAGAAACTAGTGATCCAAGTAGTCGAATAAATTATAAATCTTTTATTTTTTTTTAATTTATTAATTATAAAATAGTTCTAGCAAAATTGTGCTATTGATAGGAATCAAATCGTATAAACAAAAAGGGCGAATTTGTCATAACTTCTGAAACAACACGCTCACAAGTTAAAAATATTGAAGATTGTATAGAAAGGTTGTATGAAATTATAGTGAAAGCTGCTGAAATTCCAAAAGGTCCGAGCGAGGAAACAATACAAAGAATCGAAAAACTGTGAGTATTTAGACGTTTCATATATGTTTGTTTACCGTATTTGCGCGAATTAACATCCATGGGCGTTATTTTGGGACACATTGTTTGAAGAGAACTAATAATTAATTTATCAGAAGACTTTTTATCATAAAAGTTATGATTCGTGCTAGGATAAATTAATTGTGAGCTTTCTTCAAACGATGTATTAATTCGCACAACTACGGTAAGAGAAATCAGGTGACTTTTTTTGCTTTTATTGTATACTTCTTTTTTACAAATTATAAAATATAGTAAAGAAAAGGAAGATCATAAACGAAAGTTAGACAAACAATTTAGATCCCAGAAAAAATTCGGACGTAAATATTCTGATGATTTATAAACTTATTATTTGCAATAATATCAAAAATATTTGATTAGCATGTATTTAATATCAATCTCTCAGATTTTATTTGCATTCGAACTTGTCTATAATTAGTGTGCTAATTTTATATTTATTTAGACAAAAATAAAGAATTATGTAATATAAGAGCATTAATGAAAATTTGATTTTAATCAATACACTGTAAAATTATTTATAATGTTATGGATGAGATTCCTTCGATAGACTTTTGTGGGGAGCATAAGTATCGAATGTAATCTGATACGTGATTTATTATTAGTTCCAATTGCTTATTTTTCTGTTTTGTTTAAATTAAGTCACGTAGTGAAGGTTTTATTATTCTGGAAGAATTTGCATTGTTAAAAGCATTCATAGAATAGTTGCTGTGACTAGAGAAGAAACTCAGCAAGCATAAATATATCTAATATACTGTATTCGAGTTCTATAATTGTCATTTCGAATTTACATAAGAAACTAAGGTTTGAATGACTTCCAAAATAAAATTGACAATATTATAAATTACCAAAGTTGAATTGGATTCTGAATTTAAACAAGTATCAAAAGAATTTGATGTTTCAAATATATTTATTAAACAGTCAAACTATTAAATAAATTGAAAAAAGTTTTTAATAAATTTCACAAAGCCATAAAGTTATCTAGACAAAAAAGATATTTATACTGAGTAATTTAAAAGGTTTAATTGTTAGATTTGGTCTAATTGGTTGCAAACAGTTAATTAATTACTGTATAATTAAAAATTATTATATAAATATTGCAAATTATAATAAATATTAGATAATATAAATATCTTACATAACCAATATATATTTTATTTATTTATTTTTTTTTTTAAGCAGTTATGCTAATACTTCATTAAGATTTTGAAATTATATTTGTAACTATATAAATATTCCTAATACCTAAGTCTAGCATCATCTGGTTACCTTAATAGTATCTAAGTGCAACCTGTTATATTACTTCAAGCAGAAGTAAGCTGCTTGTCTAACTACTAAAAATCTATAATGAAAGGATCTTCATCCTTTTATAACAAGTCTTAATATTGTCTTTATTATTTCTTTTTCAACTTTTCTTTTTTTCTTATTATTTTTTTTTTTCTTCTATTTTTTGCTGATTTGTTTTTTTTTTTTACTTAGTTTCTTTATCTTTTTTCTTTTTATCTTTTTACTTTACCTGTTATTTTAATTTTTTTTTTCTATTTGTTAATTTTTTTATATTGTTACAGGATTGTAATCTTCTTGGTACAATACAATCAAGTAACAAGATCACTTAGTACAGTGATTGATTATTGCAAATATATATGAAGTGAAGATGTAATAGTTCATTTTACTATATAGCAGTAGGCAAATGGTTTAAGATAGTAACAATATATAGATTAACTTTTATTAAATAAACATACAATAACAACCTTGTCTATAGAAATTATCCTAAAAGGGAAATATCATTTTTATAAGTTAGAAGTAAAGGTAGAAAGGTCTAGGATGAAATATAGAAACTTAAAATTAGTAAAAAAAAATAAAAGCTACTCTTTATATATCTTTTTACCTAGCAGAGATAGTGGAGATTCAAGTAACATTATTTGATACTATACTTGGGATAATAGGAGTTCAAATAACATTAGATATTATTATACTTGAGACAATAGAGATTCAAACAACATCAAATAATACTGTGCTTGGAGTAGTAGGGACTGTGCTAAGGTAACTGAGAATATTGTTTATATTATTTGTTATTTGTGCTTGAAACACTTGAGACTTGTGTTTAGTCACTTGGATCTGTGCAAAGACACTTGGGATTTGTGTAGGGATATTTGAAATTCATGTGAAGACACTTGGGGTTCATGTCAAGGATACTTGGAATTCTTGTATTGCATCACTTGGCACAGTAATTTGGTACTAAAATATATAAAATTTATATAGAAGTACTTGGAGTTTGTAAGATGATAGTAACATCACAAATATTACTCAATATCATGTGGCTGTACCACATTTCTAATAGCCAATTAAGATTTTTTTATTTATCTACTATATAATATAATTATCAACAAACTAATGACTAATAATAAATATAATATAAAATACAATAATGAATATATATATAATTACTAATACTACTATATAATGTACTATATTAAAACCTACTTTGTAATATTTTTTTCTCTTTAAGAATTTTGTTTCACAAAATTCTTACAACTTTTGTATTATTTACAAAAGTTAACTAATTGATTAAACTTGACTTTATTTATATATGTTTTAAAGTCAGTTTCTTTGTTCAATATATTGTTTATAACTAATAGTTTTGAATAATTAATAAGTTCTAGTCTAGATCTTAATTCTGCTTGTCTTTATGAACTTGTCATAATCTGGTTTTTCTAATAATAGAACTCCTAGGTGATAATTATAAGCTAAGCAATATATTTGGTTATAATTAAATAGGTATGCAATTAACTGATATTTCTTAGTAATTTTGGTATAACAATTTTCTTATAATGTATTGATAGTCATTGGTACAATAACTAGAAAAATCTGACTTGGAATTATGTTTAGTAGATCTATTTTTATTTTGATCAACAGATCATTATTACGGATTATTGGTAACATATATGAGGTTTCTATATTAAAAATAAGAGTACATCAGCAGAATAAATATACAAAATATTGCGAAAGATTTTGCATTTCAAAAATCTTTCAAAATAACTGCAATTGATGTGAAATAAAATAATTTCGCTATATTGCGAAAGAAATGAAATAATTTCAAAAGAATTTTAGCTAATTTACAAAATTTTAAAAAATAATAAAACTAAAAAAATGAAAAAATAATTTGAATAATAGGAATGTTAAAAATTTTACTCAGTTTAACTCAACTTATAAGTTTGAGTTAGTAGCTAAAAAGTCAGTTCCAAGTTTGACTTGATATATCACATAATATCAATTATGTAGGAGTAATTATGTAAAGGTAATTATGCAAAAGTAATTATGCAGAGGTAATTATGTAGTGGTGCTTATGCAATTATGTGAGAGTATGCATGCAGAGGTAGTTATGCAGAAGTAATTATGCAGGGATAGCAGATATTATTATATAATAATGGTTTTTAACAGTTAACTTTAATGACTTTTAACAATTTTTAACAGTTTTTAACAGTTAACTTTAATGGTTTTTAACAATTTTTAATAGTTTTTAACAATTAACTTTAATGACTTTTAATAACTTTTAATGATTTTTAACAGTTTTTATTTTTTTAAATTTTTAATAGTTTTTAATGAATTTTATTTTTTTAAGAGCTTTTAACGGTTTATATTTTTTAAAATTAACTTTAAAACTTTTAACAGTTTTAACAGTTATTTTTTTAAGAGTAATTTTTAAGCTTAAACTTTTAATTGTTTTTAATGGTTCTTATTTTTTAAAACTTTTATTGACTTTTAATGATTTTTGTTTTTTTAAAAGTAATTTTTAAGCTTTTAACAGTTTCTATTTTAAAATTAACTTTAAATTAAACTTTCAACAGGTTTTAAAAGTTGAAAACTTTTTGAAGTGATGATTTTATTCCAATCAATGCTGACCAATTCTAGGTAGAATTATATGAATTCAATATAATTACTAGGTTGAGAACCAAAATTCAACATAATTAAGATAATAGTGCCTACACAAAGTTTAATTTTCTTATTCATTATAAGAATTAATAAAACAAAAATAGAGGTCTGGCTGTAGTATAAGAATGACTATCTAGTAATATACTAATAACTATCAGATATTTACATTCTTAAAATGACACTATTTTTTATATTTTTATTCTGATTAATTTAGTTTTTCCTCTTATCAGAAAACCATCTATTATAAATTTAGAACAGCAAGATACAAATGAAACATTTATATAAAATTTTTTAATCTTCATACAGATATGGTAATTTATTAATTTATAGGTTACCTTTATATCCTATTGACTACTATACGTGAGATTGTTGATACACTATATGAAGGGACACATTTATTGTCTTCTTTTTAATAATAATAACTAATATTATATATGCCATTAGTATTTTCCATCATTGCTATATTTTTTTTTGATAACAATAAATTCCTTGTATTCATTCATCCTTTATTAATTCCAATTCCTTTTTCAGCATTATATATGTCACTGGAGTTTCCAATCTTCCTTGAATTTTTTTAAATTCTTCATGTTTATTCTTTTCAACTCCAATTTCTTTTCAATAACAATATCCAATTTTAAACTATCCCAATATCACCACCAAAAAAATTACGCTTACATAATATTTTCTTGTTGCAAACCAATGATATTACAAGATCGGGTATAGCATTTCAAGATCAAGTGTAATGTTGCATAATTTGAAAAAATCAAACCAACCATTTGTTTTAATAAAAATTGTCTATAACTCGAAAATTTATATAGAAAACCACCTTTAGTACACTAACAAAAAAATTTCCTTAAGCAATTTTACTAATATATCCTTACTATTATCTAATAATAATATTACTAACCTTAATATTAGTGAATTGGGATTTTTATCATTGTCACATGAGCGTAATTTTTTTGGTAATGATACTGGTGAAGATATTTTACTAATCATCAGGTGATCATATAACATTGTTTACCTTTACTAAAAATCCCTTTAGAAATTCATAATATTATTTAATAGTGTTTTTTTTTTAACTTGATTGAAATATTATTTAATATTGGTTAAGCAGCACTGATAGTAAAATATGTGTTGTGTTACTAATTATTTATTTATTGATATTAACCAGTTCTGTAGTAATTGTCACATTTTTAACTAATATTTATCCAATAAATAAAGATATAGAAAGTTAATTTTTGTAACATTTTATAATAGGAATTTATCAACTTTGATATTAATTTGGAATAATTTAGATAAGACCAATTAGGAACTAAAAAGTGTAGAGAAATTTAGCTGTTTGGCTTCATCTAAATTACTCAAAAATTATTCATCTAATAAGTAAAGATATAGAAAGTTATTGTCTAATAAAATTTCTTAGCTTTTGCATTAATGAAATATCAGTTTTTCACAAATCTTGATCAAAGTTAACAGACAATTACTGCAGTGCTAATTAACATCTCTGAACATATTAATATGTAACTATTATAATATAAACTCGATATTAGTTAACATTAAACAGATCCATTAATTGATGCATGAATTGTTAATATTAAGTAAAATATTAATTAGTTAGCCAAGCCCTTAATATTAGTTGAGCAGTCCTAAGAGTGTTATTGTCTAACTTGCATGCCATTGTTCAAAATAATGCCCAGACATCCTTTGTGTTTATCTGTACAGTTTTATTAAATTCTTAATTGTTCTGAATTAAAATAATGAAAAATTAAAAAATTTTTCATAAGCTCTTAATATTGATTAGGAAGTATCATTAATCAAATTAAAAAAAAAATTAATAAAAATTAAGGGTAGTTTTTAACAAAAGACTAATTATTCGTTAAATTTGTAGACAAATTTGTCTGCAATACTTTATCTAATAATTGTATTTATTGCATAAGTCTTATGTAACAACCCATGCTTTTTTCATTTACTTATTGGCATGGGATTGTACGTCAGACATCGTGCAATAAAATAGTTATTATACGAATTATAAAATAACTAAATTTGTATGAGTTGATGTTACATGACCAAAGACTATGTAATTCTGTGCAAATTTAGTTATTTTTTACAACCCATACAATAACTATAACATATTTACCCATTAAAGCTAAATGTTTTAAATGACTATAGATATATTGTTTAGAATTGTCATTTTTACTAAGATTATTTTACCAAGCTAAAAGATACTGTTAAAAATAATAAAAGATTTAGACTAATAGAAATAAACCACAGTTAGTCTTAAGTTCAGTTTTGCTTTTAGTCTTAAGCTTATTATTTAGTGATTTACATACATATATAAGTTGTATTAATAAAATAATTTGATCAAAAATTTGCAAGAAAATTTGCATGCAGTACTAATAAGAATTAATTTGTGATTAGTTAGCTTAAAGATATAATTAATACAATATTAAAATTTAATATTATTAAGTAGCATTATTAATTATGCAAAGACAATTTTTGTGGTGATTATTAAGACAAATTTCTAAGGTTCTACATATTAATTTTCGATCAATTATGTTGTATTATTTGAAATTGTCAAAATTGGCAAAATTCTTAAAATATCAGAATTTTATAATCTGCATAATTCACATCTATTTGTAAAATGTACATTAAGAATTACTTTTTTATACATTAAAATGTAATTTATTTTTTGTTAGTCTATAGTACCATTTATTAAATTATACTTTTATAAAGTTCTTAAATCCAGGGCACAAAATTTTAGGCATGTTATAATCTGCTTTTTTTTTGATGAATAAAATTTAGAAACTCCTGCAATATATTTAGAGAGTTGCTATTTTCACCTCTCATTTTTGCTAATGACACCCCCCATAAGATCAGAGCCAGCATCTGGCCTGTGGCATGTGATTCTGAAGTCGATGTGCATGTTATGTGATACAAATTGCTTGCGAATTGTCTTGAAATTTTTAAGTAGCATGAGCAGGTATCATGTGATTGATGTAACCTTTTCATCACAGAACTACATTCATCTGATTAGCTTATATAGATCAATTGACCAGGTAACTTATTTATATACTTTAAAGTATTTTTTAGGAATATAATGTTTTATTAACAAAAAATTACTGTAAAAATAAATCCTAGTTTTAAAACGAATATATATTTTTACTATATACTTAACTATATACTGCTGATACTAGTTAAGTTATGTAACTATATGAATAAAAGTTTCAGTATCTTGATAGTATTAATATTTGTAAGAATATTAGATGTTTACTAAGTTTTGCTAGCGGGTTCGAATAACATATAAGATTAGACATACAGCAGAGACCGTTAATGTTATACGTATATTGAAACTGGTGAGGGATTATATCCATCACAATTGAATCTAACATAAATAGTTTAATTTGTAATTGATCACAGGTGAGAGAAATTCAGTTTGGATCGGACACTGTCACTGCTGTAGATTAGATACACTGTAACCAAAAATTATTGATAGTCAGCCAAAATTTTTTAGAATTCGTTTCTTACTATTGAAACTAGTGATAGGTGACACACCTATGTGATTCTAATTGTTATGTACTAATACTTATAAAAAATCAAAAATAGATCATTGATTTTTATATATAGTACTATGTGACAATTAGCATCACATAGTTGCATCACCATCACTAATTGAAACCAGCACACTTCATTAAATATTGAATTTAATATTTATTTTTAATCTTAGTCAAACACACAATCCTACTCTAAGGCATATAAATATTAATTTGCTTAATAATAGAAAAAAAAAATAAAGAAATATAAATCACATAAGTCTTAGTTAAATACTTATATTTCCAAATTAGCTATTATATAGTACTGTCAAGAGAAAACCTGTCATCCAGCACTCAATTATATTTTATGTACAGTTAGCCATCTGTAAAAAATCTACCATAATAGATTTTCCATAGAGGCTAACTGTACACAAAATATAATTGAATGTCCGATGACAGGTTTTCTCTTGGCAGCACTTATATATTGAATTTCTTAATGATCTGCACTGAAATCTAATCGATGTAATTATGTGTTAATGATGTAATAAATTTGACAAATAAATATAGCGTATAACAACAAACGGTCTTATGGTCTTTCTTTTCTCTTCTTTCACCCCTAAAACTGATATCTAAAAATCAAAAAATCATTTACTTCATTAATGTCTTATAAAGTTTAAACTGAATACAAAAACTAGTTAACAAAACTACAAAAAAACAAAAACTGTTAGCAAAACTACAAAAACTGTAAAAAAAAAAAAGAAAAAAAAAGTGGTTTAACAAATATTTAAAATCATAATAATCATCTACAAAACGCAATAGTATATATTTTTTACCTTATATGAATCCACCTCCAACTAATGAAACATTCACAAGTCATCATGAGCTTCTTAAATATGTTCAGATCTTTGCTAAAACTCAAGGATATGCTGTATCTATAAAGAGGTCACAAAAAGACAGAAAAGGTGAAACAAAAAATATAGCATTGGTATGTAACAGAAGTGGTCTTTATAAGAACAGTTTAAACTTGACAGACAATACATGCAGTAGAAAAACAGCATCAAGACTTGTGAATTGTCTGTTTGAGCTTTTTGGAACTAGACGTAATAATATTTGGTACCTTGAAATCATAAACCCAGAACATAAAAACTATGAAGCATTAACGAATATGTCTGGGCATTCGATAGCTCGAAGGTTGAACACTGAGCAAAAGATGATAGTTAAGCAAATGGCTGCTGCTGGTTCTTGTTCCCATCAAATTTTATCTACCATACATCAAAATGATCCATTTTTAATAGCTATATCTAAGACAGTCTACAACGTCTTGCAATCCATTCGTCAGGAAAGACTTGATGGTTGTACACCAGTTCAAGCCTTTTTCGATAAATTACAAGAATCTGATTTCGAATTTGAATATCAATATGATCAGCAAAACTATATAACTCATCTTTTTTTTGTACACAAAGTCTTTATAGCTTTAACTCATACCTATCTTACCATATTACTGATTGATTGCACATATAAAACAAATCAATATAAAATGCCTTTGATGAATATTGTGAATGTATCAAGCTTCAACATCAGTTTTTTTTCTTGTTTTGCTTTTCTACATGATGAAACAGAAGAAGATTATGAGTGGGCCTTGACTTGTGTTGCAAAAATTTTCAATGAATTACCTTATTCCAATGTTATTGTTACAAATCGGGAATTAGCACTAATGAGAGCTGCTGAAAAAATTTTTTCTAATACTTACAATGTTCTATGTATATGGCATATAAATAAAAACATTTTAGTAAAATGTAAGTGTTATTTTATTACAGAAGAGAGTTGAACTGAATTTTTAAGAACGTGGCAAGTAGTAATGGCATCTGGCACTGAACAAGAATTCATAACTAAATGGAATGAATTTTTAAACCATTATACAAACAAACCTAAAGCCTTAAAATATCTTCAAGAAACCTGGATTCCTTATAAGGAACATTTTGTTTTAGTCTGGACTAATTGTACTTGCATCTTAGTAACACTGTGACCTTACGAGTGGAAGCAATGCATGCTGTTATCAAAAAGTGTTTGCAGTTGTCTACAGATAGAAAAGATTAATTAGAGCCTATAAATTATAATTATTAGTTTGCCTATAAATTATGATTATTGGTTTACAATTAAATACTATCAAGAGAAAACCTGTCATTGGACTTTCAATTATATTTTGTACTGAACACAATTTATGTAATTTATTAAAGATTATATTCAGTACAAAATATAATTGAAATCCTGATGACAGGTTTTCTCTTGATGGCACTCAATTGCTAAAATGTTTGACTAATTAGTGTGGATGCCAAATTAAAAAAAAAAAACTTTGAATTCATTCTAGAAAATTGTTCAACTATTTTTTACATTCATATTTACAGGTGATCTTAAGTCAGTACACTACAAGATTGTATTACAAATAGAATCACAAGCAAGAGAGATTCACGCAACAATTTCTTCTCAATGTATAAGAATACAACATAAACATTGAATTCCTCTTTTTGAACCTCTCTTATATCATGGTTCCACCTTCGTGTTAAATAAGATCTGTGATGAGCTGATTAAAGCATCGAATGCAACTCTAGATTCTCCTCTAAAACCTTGCATAGGAACTTTCAGATCTATGATGAGGCTTCCTTGCTTACACATAATTAATGAACATCTATCAGCTAATTTGACATTGCAAAAAGTTGATGTTCACAAACACTGATAGATCCAAGGCCAATGTATAGAATTTTTGGAGCCCACATACCCTCTCAATAATAATCGTAGCAATCTTCAGCCTCTCCTGCAATCTCTCACACACATGTACCAAATCTGGTCACCACACCAATGAATTACTATCCAGTCCCAATTAGAAGAGTTAGTAAATACCCCACCTGTCATACTAGAAGAGCCTGTTACTAGTAAGCCACGAGAAAGACCAGCAGGTGCAAAAAACAAAAGAACAACACAGAGAAATCTGTCTGCATTCGAGCATGTTGAAAAATGAGCAAGACAATGTGGTACATGTCATCAAATAGGTCATAACAGTCACACTTGGCCTAAATTGTGATTATTTTGCTTTTACATAGAAAATTTTTTTTATTAGTGCATACATTCATACTTCTTATTTAGCATATTAGAATTTTTTACTGCTTATCGCTATAGACAAAAAGAGTGCATTGAATATATTATCAAATTTAATTATAATTTGATTTAAACTATAACAGTAATACAGTAATATCGATATATATTAAATCATGTTAGATTATCATCAAACTATTAGATTATTATTTAACCTATTATTAACAGAATCTACCTATGAGAAAATAAAAAGAACTTCATATAAAAAAAAAAGTCTACAAACTAATATATGTACACAAAAAGAAACTGTTATATTTTAAAAATAGATGAAATTGATATTTATTACTAATAAATTCAAGCTCAACCATGATCAAAAATCCAATATATGAATAAATTACTGTATTATATAATAAAGTATCTTTTAGTCTTTATTTATTACATCATAAAAGTAATTAAAAGAATTCTATCCTATTTTTTGTCATTGTGACCTTTATTAGACGTGATGTGACCCTTTGCTTATATAATTAATAAAACGATAATGCTTATACATCGATCTACTAACCCAAAGTCATATTTACTAATCTAGTAATATTATTCTATAATATTTGAAATACAGTAAGCATTAGTACAAGCCTATTGTTATTATAATATATAGTATAAACAGCGTACTTAAAGTTCTTTAAATTTAAAGCTTACATGTAATGCTCAATCTTTTTTTGTTGTCCATTTTTGGCATTTAAAACCTACATATAGTTAGCATAACTAGCATTAGCAGTAGATAGTAAAAATATTCACTTCTAAGTGAAGTTCTTGAAGGTGTGGATTATTTGGATTAGTTTTAACAATAAATATGTATCTGTGTTCGTTTGGAGCTAGAATTGCTTTTATGATAATTTTTTTTGTTAGTAAAACATTACGCTCTTAAAAAGTACTTTAAAGTGCATAAATAAGTTACCTAGGCAATTGATCTACATCAGCCAATCAGATGAATGATGAAAAAATATTATACCGATCATATGATATCTGCTCGTGCTACTTAAAAATTTTGGAACAATTTGTAAATGATTCGTATCACGTGACACACACATCAACTTCAGAATCATGTGCTGCAGGCCGGATGCCAGCTCCAATCTTATAGGGGGTGTCATTAGCAAAAATGGTGTATGAAAATAGCAATTCTCTAAATATATTTAAAATCTAAATATATAAATTATTATTACTAACTTTTGACAGGTATTGAGTAGCTATTCTTTTATTA